GGTTTGCCCAGAGAGGTGGTGGAGGCCCCATCCCTGGGAACATTCAAGACCAGGTTGGATGGGGCTGTGAGCAACCTGGGTGACCTCTAGGGGTCCCTTCCAACCCAAAACATTCTATGATTCTATGATTAAGATCAGTGGTGGAAAGACCATCGGTGTGGCAGGAGCAAGGGACGAGGGGGCTGCAGGGAATCCGTGCTCCTAAGGGCAAGGAGATTAGCAAATCCCCAGCAGCTCCATCCCAAGAGGAGGGATGAGGGGAGGCTCGCGACCCAGCACGTGTTCTGCAGGCTGAGGGCGACGGGCACGGGAAGAGGCAAGGGGGACAGGAAGGGACCCGGGCGCAGGCGGCGCGGGGCAGAGCGTGGGAGCGGGCAGAGAGCAAAAAAAACCCCAAAACCTAGTCCTGGAATTCACCGAAAGCTCTCTGAAGAGACAAGAGTTTGAAGGTGAATTTCCAAACGTATTTCAAACTATCTCAGAAGGATTTCACGCTGTCGGAGGAGCTCAGTGCTGTCTCCTCCATGGCAGACATGGGGACTCTCCCCTCCTCCCAAGTCACACACGAAAAACCAAACTAAGGAAGCGCTTCGAGCCTGCAGAAACAAAGCGACATCTGAAAACTATTTCAAAAGTGTGTGTTTCTAATAAATCAGTGATAGATTTAAGACAGCATTTAAAGCCGACTTTGGCACCCGCCCCTCCAAAGCCAGTAGTTCCCAGGCAGGAAGAAACCCAGGGGGGAAAAAAAACCCCCAAACCCAAAGGAGTTAATCAAAGGCACAAGGAACCCTGCATCATCACGCTCGCACTACGCCCCCGGCGGCTCCAGCCTCCGCACCCAGAGCGCAGCGTAACCCACGGGGGAAAGCCCCGGTCCCCCGAGGACACCATCGCCCACCTCCCCTGCCAGCCTGCACCCTGTGGCCGAGCCCGGGCCTGCTTCCCCAGGGATTTTAGGTAATTAAAAGCAGTTCTAAGCTGTTTAAGCAATCGGAGAGGTCCAAAATGGAAATAAAGATCCTCTACTGACACACGCGTATACACGCACGCGTAAACGTCCTCCAAACACCCCAGCTCCTTGCTCGTGTTACAAGGATGGCGCGATAAAATTAGCATGCACAACTTAGAGCCATAAAACCGTTTGCAGGTCAGCCCGAGTG